TTCATGGCTCTGATGTTGTCTGCCACCAAATCCCAGCTGAATAAAAGTCAGAAATTGAAGCAGCAAATCATGTTTTATGTATGTGTGCTTACACAATGAAAGCAAGATGGAAAGTGGGCCAAGCATCACACAGGGCATATTATGGCAACAAAGCAGCTTTCCACTTTCTTGGGAAAACGGCAGCCGCAACAGCCAGAGTGCCAGACACCGAGTACAATATGGCTAATGACAGAGAAAATAGAAAGAAAGATACATAGAAACTGCATTACCCCACTGCTCTTTTCCTGGGAAGTGCTTTACGATTCTCATTGATTCTATTCTATTCTTACTCAATACGAGCATCCGAGGATGAGCAAATGTCACAATGGATGCTACGAGACGCTCGACACCTGTCCCGATTTTTCACATTATGCAGAAGTAGTTTAACTTACATGTTTTCAGGTGTTTCGGGACACTTAAGTAGCAGCAGTTGTTCACTTTCATGATCAGCCAGTATTTATTTTCCTGGATATTGATGAATTAAAAATTACAGAAAATGGTGCAAAGATGAAATTTTAAAAATGTTTTTATAATAGAAATGATGATGATTTTTTTTTTTTTTTAAACTCAGATTCACAACAGTCCAAACCAAGATGAAATAGTTTACAAAGACAGTGGGAGTATTATTTGGAAAGAGTTGCTGTGGTGTATCTTGATTAAAACCCTTCTGTGTGCGTGGTTGATATGAGCAGTGGCTCAAACTGATAAAATTCACTTTGTGTTATTGAACTGATGTGTAATCTGCTTGTTTAAACAAAATAGCTGGTTGCTTTTCCCCTATTCCATTAATATATGTGCGTGATATTTGTGAGTTTTGGGCATAGAAGTTGGATGCTGACATGATGAATATCACCCACTGGTTTCTTGACTCCCATTTTAAAGCCGGGAGTTCAGTATTTTTGACATCACCGTCAAGGTATTTTGAAACGTCAGTGAGGTAACTGTGAAACTGAGAACACTGAGTGCTAATAGATTAGCAAACTGTTAATCACAAGCTAATTCTAGCCTAAATTGTACCCTCATTTACTGTGTATTTTGCTCTAAATGGGAGGATAATTAACATAATTGTTATTATTATGCTGTAAAAAATAAATAGATACATATAATGGGGAGCATGGTGGTGTAGCAATTAGCACTTTTCACATCAACAAGGTCTTAGGTATGAAGTAATCAGTCTGCTGAGGACTTTCTGTATGGGCAAACTGAACATGCATGTTCTCCTGCACAGTGTAAAGACATGTTTGTTAGGTTACTCAGTGATTGTAAATTAGTGTGAATGTGAGTTATATCTGTTAGGTCGATAATAGATAGGTGATCTGTACAGTCTGTACCCTGCCTCTCACCTGATAGCTTGCATAGGCTCCAACCCACCCTGCAACCTAGAGTTGGATAAGCAGAAGAAACAGGATAAAAATAGCAACTGAAACTCACCAGGAAAGTATTTACTGCGCTATCAAGTCAGGTGAGAAGTTGGGTTATTTTCTCCTAGGCTGTGTTCACACCAGAATGAATAAGAATCTGGTCTTTGTCTGAGGTTACGCTTTCACACAAGCAGAACACAGTTGGTCACGCTGATGCTTGGTTTAGGTGAGGATGGTTTCTGAGTAGACTGTGCAGGAGGCGGGTGAGCCACTGAGTAGCTGTGAATTCAACCGGTTATTACCTGAGATATGCAAATCAGCATGTTTGGAAAAAGGTATAAAGCACCTACTGTATAATGCTGCATTCCATTTACCTCAGAAGTCGGATGACTGAGGTGGAAGTGATGTCACTCCTGAGTTGGGTGTGTTTCAGTAGTGAAGTCAGAAAAACAAGGAATAACAGCATTTGTTTTGCTCTTTAGCAAGATAGAGTCAGTCATGCATCATTATCATATTAGTGCAAAGCGTATTGTTTGTTTGTTTGTTTGTTTTTTTTAGCACTTAAAACCACCATTGCCACACGTTCGTGGATAGACCCTGACTTACTTAGCTGGTCACATGTCTTATGGTTTTACTGCTTTTTACATGCCCTGAAGCAATCTTGGATTGTCTTAGGGTTGGTGGGGCTGCTCTGACTGTCTGATTTTGGAAGTCTGGCTTGGGGGGGCGTTCCAGTTAAAAATTCTGTCCTCCAGTGAAATGCACCATAAGTTCCTTCTTTTTTTCCATCTTTTTAAAATTTTCAGATTTCCCATTTAACGCGGGAATCTGATAACGGTCAACTTTTCATGATTACCTGACTTTTTTTTTTACATTAACCAATCAAGAGAATAATTGCTGATATTGTATTATACAGTGATGTGTACAGTGACAAATTTCTTCCATTAATACACTTAGATACATCCAGTACATGTATTAATGGACTGAACTGAACACTTCTCTGTCTCTCTTGCTTCACTGTGCAAGAGTCACCTTGGCACAGATTTAGCCGCGCCTACTGGGTGACGGCAGCGACTTTCGCCTTCACCCTCCTTCGCTCCTCCCTCAACAGCACACCATACTGCATCTCTCCAGTAACCGAAAACTACTACTAACATAAGGATTGCTTTGATTTACAAAGTGAACCTAAGGCAGCCAAGCGCACACACAAGCTGCATGACCTTAGCGCTACCCTCAGCTGAAGTTAATACTGCAGCACCGTGCAAGAGCCTCAGTCACAGTGTCATTGTCCTGACATACAGTGTCATCCCTGCAGTGAGGACATATGCTGCTATTGCGATGTAATCTATCTAGCAGTGATCTAAAGGATGAATAATCTCTATCTAATCTGCACCCATGGGTTCACATCAGCCCATCATACTGGGTGAGATCTCATCGCCTGATTAGACAGAGAGCATCGAAGCGAGATTTTATGCCTGTGCGTGTATGTGTGTGTTGAAGCCTTTAAACCACTGCGGAGATCATTATAGCATCACAGGTCATGTTTTATTGCCTTGCAGTGGGTTTTATGACAATTAAAAGACAGGCAGACCAGGGTTAGATCTATAAATCTGTGTGTATATTGATGTATTTGCACATTAGTGTTTCTAAAAAAATAAAATATTCTTGTATTTGGCTGTGAGCTGGCCTTATGGGACACTACTCTTCATTTATCTGTGAAGCTTAAAGAGGGTGAATAAATTTAACCACTCTCATGTTATCTCAACAAATCTTCCCCCGTGTCTCTGTGGAAAGGCCTTGACCCTCCTGCCACCCCACCTCCGTGTTAGAACATGCTAGATGCCCATGACCCACCCCGTTTCTCGCACCTTCACCCTCACAACGTTTCCTTTACTATTTGTTTCGTGGTGTTAGCGGCTACAAATCACGTGTCCATCAAATCAGGCCTGAAACACAATAATCATCTAATGGCAGAAATCCCAGACCCTGATTGCCACTTTAATCAGTCATACCTTGGCTTAAAGCCTTACTGACCTCTGTATTTCATTCAAATCTGGTTCTAAATTTGTGAGCTTTCCTGTTAACAGACACAGATGGACACCCGGTTTTGTTTCATTGTTGTTCCATGCTGATGATATTTGGGCTTCAGCTGGATGGAAGCCATATGGGAACCAAGTTAGTCAATAATTGTGTTTTATGTGGTCTTTTGATTGAATTAAATGGATCGTATTGATTTATATGAAACATAATGCATTTGCATTTTTAAGCCAATGATGATCGCTGTTCTTTTCTGATTGTGTTTTGTTGGACACAAAATTACACAAACAATTAAGGACAAATATTTAAAAAAAAATGTATGCAAGCAAATGACATATATGCTTTAGATTGATGTGTAAGCTGTGTGATGCTCCGGTCCTTTTTGTTGTTTAAAGTTTGACAAGAAAAAACACCAAACTCCGGCTGGTCTCAGCAATTCTAGGAAAATCTGTCAATGTGATGGTCTGTGGTCTTACAGTCTATCTGCTGGTGGCACTGGCTGTCAGTGCCCAGTCAGCACTGGTCTGTGATTCCTTGAAAGCCGCTCTATATCCTGGCCTGGAGGTCGGGTGATGTGGCATTACTGACCCCCTGGTGCACTGGGACATGGGGGCCAAAATCAATAGTCGTATCATATCGCTTCAGACTGTAACAAGCTGACTGATTACCTCATCGGCTGCCAGTGAAGATAGTGGAAAAGAAGAAAGAGGAAAAAAAGGGTGCAATCAAAAGATTAGGAAAATTACAAATAAAAAACCCCAGCAAAGTAGCATTTTTTGTTGGGGGTGGAAATAAAATCCTCCCATGTGCATGTACTGCAAACCACAAGAAAAATGCTATAGTTAATATTATTGGACACCAGAGGGTGGTAGCACTAATGGAACTACATTTACACTTTGAAGTTATGATAAGGTATTTACACACAAGTGTATTCGGAGGAAGCAGTGTTGATATTATGGGCAAACACATATTCTTTATCTGCTCATAGATACGTTTTCTTTCTCTTTTTCATTTCATTTTTTAGCCTTAATGAGGATTTTTCCATTTCTCTTCCAAAGATTGGAACCACATTTAGTTTTAGGAAACTTGTGCAAAACTCCAGCTGTAAGAGCCGCAGTACAAGATGACAGTTTAATTTAAAATTTGTACAAATTTCATGATTCTTCTTTAGCTCTTGCACAAGGAAAGCGTGATGTATAAAGATAAATATTTGTGTATTTGCAGAAAAAACATCTACTGTCATACGTGTGAGACTTAAGTTACTATGCAAGCAGCTCAAAAGTGGCTTGTTTAAAGACAGAAGGAGAAAGGAAGAGATCAAGGATTGTAGATTTTATTGATCAAAAAGTGCATTTTCAGCTTCATGTTTGGACTGTGGTCACTGTGAGGTCATCACATTTGCTATTTCTGACTGTGTTTTTGTTTTCCTATGCTAACCATTTTAGATAAATTCAAATCCACACTGTAGAGTTTAGATGTTTGGCCCTTACTGTTTCAGTTCACTCGTACCTGACGGACACAACTGGTCAGATTAGTTCATCTTAACTCTTTGTTTTTCCTCAGGTCACGGTCCACCTGAAGAGAATCCCAGAAAGAAGCAAAGTCCTGGGATGAAAGCACTCTGCCATTTTCCTCTCTCCCCCAGACCACCAGGAGGAGGACGCTGGGTGACACACTGAGGTAAAGAACCACGCTAAAAAACAAAAAATAAAACACCCTCTGCAGACAAAACCCTTCTCTGATAACGCTGACCTTCAGTATTTGCTGACTCAAGCATCCCCCACTCCTCCTACTACCCACTCTTGTTCTTTCTTGCCCTCCCTTTTGTGTTCTCTCTCCCTTCTGTTTTTTTTTTCTTCTTCTTTCTTTTCATGAGAGCCGTCAATGCTGATCAGTGGACTGACAAGGTGTGGGCTCATATTAGAGTGTCCTCATTTTGTCACACAGATGCAAGCACATTTATGGAAATAGGGGTCTTGGCCTCTTTGATGCTTCTGTTTAGGGACTAGATTTGGAGAAGGATAGCAGTTGGAGAATGTGACACAGGGGTTACAGGGAGTAGAAGAAGAGATGAGGAGGTCAAGAGGTTAGAAATTTGCGGCTGAGCTCATGTTGTTCCATACTGTAGTCGAGTGCCTCACATGAGGCACCGAAGGTGCTGCTAATCAAATTGTCTCGTCCAGAAAACACAATTTTCTTCGACTTCACTTTTATTTTTTTTTACACACCTAATATAGCTAATGCAGAGAATATTATGCACTTTTTTGTGTCTGTTGTTCTTCAAAAGCAGTCACACAACACTCAATCTTGACATTAAGCCCTTATCATTTCTATCAGCTAAAGAACAGTAAACGGCAGCACTTGTAAGATATTTGGGGTGATAATACTATGTTGTCAAGGCAGCAGCAGCTGTCTTCCTCTCTTCTTTCCACTGTATCCATTACAGATCTGCTATCTCTGCTGCATTTTTGTCCTCCAGTCCTCCCTGTCTCAGCCCAGCTGTCTCCTTCCTTCATTATCTGTCCCAAAACACAACTCACCACCTGTGTTAGAAGGTCGTTTTCAGAATACAAAGTCCTACTTAATATTTCATTTTTTGGTTGATACCTGTTTAGTAAATGCTAACGCTTCACTGAGCTGTATTTGGCTGGGTAAAATGAGATTTAATGTGATAAACCAAAGCATACTTTGTCCTCATCTCTATAGAGTTTCAGCATCTTTAGAAATGTTTTCTGGGTTTTAAGGTACAAGTTCACAGTAAAATTGGCCAGAGTGTATTCAAGTAATCCCTGTGGTCCAAAAGCTCTGGTTTCAGACTGCTCTAAACACTTAGTTTCAAATTTTTTTCTACTCTTGGACCTGTATGATGTCACTGACAGCAGATATCCCAGGCACTCAGCTGCTCCTCCCAAGTGCTGTTCAAAGTTTCTGTTTGAGAAGGGCAGCCAATTAGAAGAAAGGAAAGAAAGTCAAACTGCTTGTTTCAGAAAGTGGATGAACTCAGGGGCTGCAAAAAGTATATTGTGTATCATTTTGTACTGTGAAAACTACATTAGTAGAGTTCAACAATGAAATATGGAGTTGAAAATGAGCATAATATGTCCACTTAAATGATTTAGATTAGTTTTAGATACAAAGTCTCTCACTTTTCTTTAATACGTCACAAGTCCTGTTTTTCACTGACTCAAACTGAGCTGATGCACTGGTTTTGTGGATTGTTATTACCTATTCAAAGGCTGAAATAGAAACTCTTGCTGACTCACACACACTCGCACAGTGTCACACACATATAAAAGACTCAAAAGCTTTCTGGTGTTGTATTTTAAGCCCAGAGAGGTGGGCTGTGTTAGTGGTAGCAAAGTGCCAAGTCAGGGAGCAAAAGTGAACTCTTTCTTTTTTTCCCCCTCTCTCACTTTACCACCGTGGGACTCAGAGGGAGGAATGGGGGAGTTCCAGTAAGGAGAGAGAAAGTGATGACACACACACACACACACACACACACACACACACACCATTATTCAGTTCTCTTATTGGTTTTCCACCACGGCAGCACACAACAACCAACCAAGAGTGCTAAGTGCTGCGTGCCACACAAGAGCCAAGTGTGTGATCTGAAAGTAAATTAGGGCTGAAACAGTCAGTGACTTAATTATTGATTAAATGATGAATTTATTTGTAAAAAAAAAATAAATTACTCAACAATTGAGCTGTCCTGATCAATTAATTGCCTGTACCCACTTAACAGCTGTATTAGGCTGGACTTAGCAATAGTGATGCTAACAATGATAGTGCTTTGATAACATTAGCACTTTAGCTTAATATCATAAAACTTGAAGTAAATTTATGAGGAAATGAGAGACTTACATCTCTGACTCTACAGTTGGTATGTTAAATGTTAAAGGTAATGGCAGTAGTACTGGCTTGGAAGGGTTGCCAGGTTTGCAAAGTTGCATCTGAACAAACCACAAGATTTCTGGAACAACCTTGAAACCAAAGTAGATGTTTGGCCATAATGCCCGCCGCCATGTCTGGAGAAAACCAAACACAGTATATCAGCTCAAAGACCTATCAGCTGTCAGTGTAGTAGTGAAGGGGTGATGAACTGGGCTTGTTTTGCAGCCACTGGACCTGGGCATCTTCCTAATACCTGGTGAACAATACCCACACTCACTTTCATGTGCACTGGAGAACATGAGGTGCACGCTGCCAGAAAGATGTTATATAATATACCCCATCTGAGATAAATGACTCGCCCTCTTTCTTCCTCTGTAGCGACTGCTGCTCTTCATGTGGTGGATGATGTTTGTTAATTGGGTGTAACTAGGCCTAGTATTTAGCCAAAGGGGATAGGTGCTGCAAACCGTGTTGAAAGGGGTATTCCCCCGATGCCTGGGGCCATTGTGCTCGAACACAAATCCACTAAACACAAAAAGTGGATAAGATTTCCCAAAATGTCATATCCGATGCAGCACCGTGCTGATGCAGAGAGTAAATGTGAAAGAGGAGGGGGATGATTCTAAGGCTAAAAAGAGAAGGGGGAGGAGAAAAAGGGAGTCAGAAGAGAGTAGTGTGTGTGCTAAAAGAGGGAAACTAGAGGCAGACAAAAGTGGGAGAGGGGAGGGAGGAATGAGGAGGAGGAGGCGGTGCTAAGGCAGACAGCAGGGAAGGAAAGCTGAGAAGAGAAACAGTGGAGTGAAGTGAGAAGACCAAGAAGGAGGTGGTGAGGGGACAGGAAAATAAAAGGGCTTCCATTTGAAAGTCCTTGTGTCAGGATATGAAGTCTGGGAGCGGCGCAGAGGCAACGGCAGGAAGCTGGAATGCTGTAGGGGAGAGATAGTCGACAGAAGAAGGAAGGGGAGACGCGGAGAATCTGAGCCATCAGAGCACCGGACTGATTTTATTTTTTAAACTTTTTTTTCCAAGAGAGACAAGTGAAGGCAGCGATGCAGGGCTCTCACTGGAGTGAGTATGGAGGGAAGGAGAGAGTGTGTGTGCTCTTACATGTGTCTGTATGAGAAACGTCAGTGCATATGCCTCAGATTCTCCAAACTCAGGCTCTCCTCACCCTGCTTTCCATTGCCGTTTGGCTTTGTTTAAATTTATGCAAATTTGCCTGAGAATAAACTTTGTATTCATGAGCACCTTGACTCTCTGTGTGAAGCCCCTTATGAGGGTGAGTTACATTTAACGAAAGGCGCAAGGGAGATGGACAGCGAGGCGCGTGCAACAAGGATTTTGCAACTAGAATGGAAACTAGTTTAGTAAAGAAAAAATGCTGGTGACTTCTAAAAACTGAGTAATGAATAGTTAAATGATGATTCACAAACTCCAGTCAGCTGACAGACTCAGAAGCTTGAAGTTACTGCTCTTAAGTTGTCACTTTTGTGGCTGGTCTAAATGACCCTGAAGAGTTTTTGTGCAGGGACAAACAAAACTGGTTGCCTGGATTTGTTGAGGTGGGATGATGAGGGTTTTTTGTGGTGTCTGAGCCCAGGTTTTCTAATCCTGACCCTGGCTAATCTACTCATTACACACTGTTGGGGGTATTGATTTGAAATTTCAGCCTTAAGAAAAGCTGCCCCCCTTTTTGGACAGTTGGCCTGGAGGAAGAAGGAGAAGAAGGAGGAGGAGGGTGTTATTCAATCTGTCTTAACACACACTCACAGTGAAGATAAGAAAAGCATGAGGCAGCATGTACACTTGCACCAAAGCAGACAATTAGGCCACATCTCAAAAGTGTGACCTGCAAAAAAACATGTTTTCATCCAGAAGACTCAAAGGGAATCTTTGTGTTTCTTTTGATGACAAAGCACTGGGGGTAGAGCCCGCTGCTATTCCGCTCATGTCTTCCCTATGTGTGTAATTACAAGACTCCTCGTGTGCCTCGGGCCACATATTGTAGTTTCTCATCAAGTTTGTTTTGGCCCGAGAATGGTGCGTCAGCAGATATGTTTATAGACAGCTCGCAGTGCTGTCCATTCACTCAACTCTTTGTAGTATCTGTGTTTGATTGTATCATGTTAAGGCTTCATTTGAGGGCTTGCTAGGAGAAGACTGTAATTACCCAGAATGGGATTTGGCAGAGTTCGCAGGAGTGACGTTTTACTCTATAAATGCACAAACGCTGACGTGACGTTAACGGTAAGGTGAAGGGGAGTGAGAATGGGGGCAGAGATGGAAAAGAAGGGTTACCTCATCTTCTCTGGACAAAATAAATGAGGTAACGTGTCACATGTTGCAGCCGTGTTGACTAATGCTTCCTGTGTGCTGTGGGTGTGTATGCACAGTACTAAAAGGTAGTTAAGCAGCTTCAAAAAAAGGTATTGAGACCTTTTGTGGCTCTCTTTGTCTTTTGAAAGTCTTTTACCTTTTATCCTCGCTCTGTTTAGGCTGAGCTTAGGTGGGCTGGATTCATTTAAGATCACGTTCCTGTTTGTTAAAGTCACGTTCTCACACAGAATGCCAGCAAAAACTTTAGATCAAAAAGAAAGGATAGCCATAGCCACCATGATGTCACCCAACTGCTTCACAGTCACCATCTTCGTATTTTGAAATTGGATGTGATGAGAAGACAGTGGATCTACCTGAAAAACCGAGGGACACTCATGATAGATGCTAGTCAGTCAAACTGTAAAAGATACCCTGCTTTATCCTTCTTTGTGACTGAATCAAACCAAATT